GCTGGGACTCTCCCTTGTTCTTCAGGCCTGTGAGCTACAGAAACTTCTCTTCTCCCTTCCAGCCTGAAACGCTTGTTCGTAACAGTTTGTCTTCTAGCTCCTCTCAGCCACATGCAGAATTTCAGGGTCTACTTGTCTCCTGGCACGTGGGTGCCAAGGGGATGCCCGGGCAAGCAGCTGACTGCAACCCAGGGACCCACGCGTTGTCAAGGTCCCCAGGGGCATCAAGCACAAGCCTCCCCGCCAGCGGCTCCTCTGCAGACCCTGCAGCCCCGCGAGCTGCACTCCTTCTCTGCTCTCTCTTCGAAAGATTTATTTATTTGAAAAGCAAAATTATATCCATCCTCCACCTGGTGTCCCCTGAAGGTTCTAATGTACCATCTACCGGTTCACTTTTCAAATTGCCACAGAGGGCAGAGCTGGGCTTGCCCAAAGCCAGGAGCCAGGAGCTTTTTCTGGGTCTGCCACATGGGTGCAGGGACCCAAGGACTTGGGCCATCTGCTGCTGCCTTCCCAGGTGCATCGGCAGGGAGCTGGATGGGAAGTGGAGCAGCTGGGACTCAAACAGGCCTCCAAATGGAATGTCCTGCTGTGGGGATTTGTCCCTGAGCCAGACCACCAAGTGCCCGAGGAACTCAAGTCTCAGACATTCTTGGCAGACTGAATGCTACAGGAAGCAGGCTTCCTGTTGGGATTGGAGGCGGCCTTGCCGGCCAAGCGCGGCTGGGGATGTGTGTGGCAGTTCTCTAGCTCTTCCTCTTCTTTCAGTACTTGTGGCATCTGAGTACAAAGTTTTGTTATGTTCCTTTTCTTGTTAGATCTGGTTGTTTACAGGTATTGGTTCCTGTCATGTTCGCTACGCTGTTGCCTGAAGCCTGGTGATTTTTTCCCAAATTCCTCATGATCTGTCTTTAGAGGGGCTTGTATGCTATTGTTTAGTTAACAAGTAACTTTTACCTGCCTGCTTGCCCTGCAAGGTTCCTGATATAAAGATACCCAGTAAAACTCAATAAAGTATGTATTGGTTCATCTTGCCTTTGCCTCCCCTGTGTCCCAATTCTCGGCGTGGTTATCACACCTCGAGTCCCGGTCCCCCCTAGATCCTGCTACAGGCGGCAGCTTGACCCACTGTGCCACAGCACCCTTCCTTTCTTCCTAGTCACCCACCTTGCCCGGTTCATTCTGCCCAGCCCCATCCTTCACCCACAGGGATGACTCTGACATGGGCACACCGTGGATACTTCCAGACGCCGTTTCCTAAGTCAGGTCGACAGCTATAGAGAGGCAGTCCTGGGTCCCTGGCCTTGGTTCTCCCCCAGGGGCCCAGGGGCTGGGGCCACCTTGGCAGCTTGCCCTGGCTGGGAACTATGTGGCTGGGAACCTGTGCTCTGACTCCACACACGGAGGAAGTGAATGGACAACCATGGCCTTGAGCCACAGGGCACTGGGCAATTTCTGGGGCCTCCTCTTCCTTAGGTCGGTGGGTCCAGTTAGGCTTAGCCAGCACTGCCTGTGTTCTGGTGGATGCTTTGTGGGGAAGTGTGGGTCCTTGGCCCTTATCCCTGAGACCGCATTTATTACCTAATGAATGAATTAAGGCCTCTGCCAGGGCCAAATTCCTGCAAGAGACCCCAGCTACTGATTGGTTCTCCCTGAGTCACGTGGCCCATACCTCAGGTCCAACCAGCTGTGACTTCTGAGAGTGGCGGTCACATGATACCAACATGACCGCCAGGAGACGGAAGTGCGGAGTGAGACTTGAAAACCCCAAGACCCAGGTTTCTTTCCAGTGCCTGTTCGTAGCCCCGGGGCCATTTAGGAAGCAAGAATGTGGGGGTGATTTTGTGCATTCCCTCCCCTTCTCTGTAAGAACAAAGACGAAAGAGGGAGAAGGATTGGGTCTTTCTTCTGGGTTTTTCTTTTTTAGTTCCTTTTGTTCTTTTTGTTTGTTGGCAGTTAGTCGACAGAGCTGTGAGCTGCAGGATGACCATGATGGGTCTGGACCATGGGGCAAGCAGATCAAGTGCTGAGAAGATGGTCTGCTCGCTGCCCAGACAGGTGCTGTGAACTTCAAACGGCCAGGGACTTCCTCACCTCTCAGGCACCAAGAGGCCTTCCCTTGGGGCCGACAGCGCCAGCTCACCCCTCTCTACCTTCATTTCAGAAAGAACTCAAATACCCGTTACACAAGGGGCCTCCCAAAGGCTCAGGGGAAACACCTGCTATGAGGAAACTAGGCATGGGTTTAAAAACACGCTTTCTCCAACACATGCTCGCTTGTTTTGAAGCGACACAGTGTATGTTCTCCTCCACAGGCAGGCAGAGAGCGTTCCTCTGCCAGCTCACCCCCCAGTGCATCCGGCCTCTTGGGGTGCTAGGAGCAGAAGCCAGAACCAGGAATTCAGTCCAGGTCCCCAATGTGTTGGCAGGGCCCAACGGGGTGGGCTATTACCTGTGGTCTCCCAGGGTGTGCATTAGCAGGAAGCTCGAGAGGAACTTGAACCAAGGTACTCCGATACGGAATACAGTGTCTCCCCAGGCAGCCTAAGCCCTAATGCCCACCCTAAGGACATACAAAGATGCTTGGACATCTTCAGGTAGCAGAAGTACTTTCCTCACATGCAGCAAACAGACAAGGCTCACACGTGTTACTTCCATGGGCCCTCTGCCAGCTGGACCAGAGGACCACGCCCAGGTCAGAGGGGGCTGGCCCCTGCCTCGTTGAGCACTGAGCTCCAGGTCAGTGTCCTTCAATGACAAATGTGGTGCTTAATAACCTGTGCAGCTTATGAGATCTCCTGTACTTCTGGGGGCCCAATGTCCCAGCTTAGGCGGAAGTGGGCAGATGCAGGCAGGGTTCACCTGTCGAGGTTCCAGGGAGGAATCTACCCCCTGCTTCTTGTGGCATCTGGCAGCTGCTCACCCGGGCTCCTGGATGCTGCTAACTCTGCCACCTCCACCCCTGGGGACCACACGCCTTGCTCTTCTCAGACCAGGTACTCTCCTTCTGAATACACACACAAGGGCTGGCACCGAGGGCTCCCTCCCCTGGCCCCCAGCTAATCCAGGACCCTCTCTCGGCAGCCTCTTCATGCACATAAGGAAATGTTTGCAGCTTCTGGTGCTTAGGGTCCAGTAGCCCTGTGGATCCCTGTGGATCCCTGCTCAGCCCACAGAGAGTGGTGAGGCTCTCTTTCCTAAGGAAGGACCAGGCCGGGTACAACATCTCCAAAGGGTATCTACCAGAAGCCAAACTGAGGAATCTTCCAGAAAGATATTTCTCAACTCATCTGGGGCCTCGCTATGCTCCTCTGATTTTTCTTCCCATTTATCTTCCGGCTGGGAGAAGCAGAGAGCCACGTAAGTGAGGCCAGTACAGAGCCATGAGACATGGAGAGCCATGGTTGGCCCCAGGAGGTGGGGCACGAAGCCAGTCCTAGCCTCTCCCCTTGTGACTATGCATGTGCAAAAGGAAAAGGGAACCTTTGCTACTTTGTACTCTGCTGAGATAAGAAGCCACTGCCTTCACTGGCCTCCCAAGAGGAGCCGGCAGGGACACCTAGGGCAGGACAAATTACTCCCCAAGCAGGCTCCTGGTCACACACCCTGCCCCAAGCAGGCTCCTGGTCACACACCCTGCTGGCAGGCCAGCTCCAGGCTCACCAGTACTATGGAAGGTGTTCTTGGAGTTCAGGTCTGTCTTCCCGGACTTCCTGTCCTGCCCTGCCCCAAGGCAGGATCCCAGCCACAGGCGTGCAAGTTCTCCTGTGTCCCACCTGCTGGGCGTTTTGTCGCTGAGGCCCTCTGCACCCCACACACCACTGTTTTGCCAGGCAGGTGAGGAGCTATGCCCAGCTGCCTCTGGGGCCAATTCTCAGGACAGGAATGTAGAGAGCTGTCTGAAGCACTAGAACATTCTCCTGGGCCTGTGGTTGCTGGGATAGCTCTTGGGAAGGGCCAGGCCTGCTGCTAAGTTAGGCAAAGCTGTTGGTGATAAGCTGCACGTTGCAGAGGAACCCAGCCTCAAGGCACAGCACACCTGTAAAGGAGCCGCGGCCCTGGTGCGCTGGCTGCCACAATGTCAGTGGAATGTAGGTGGGAACAGATGCTCTGGCACAGCGCATGCGCAGCACCGCCTGGCAGCGGCACCTGTCAGTATCCATCTGGTGCCTCCCAGCTGTTGCTGCTGACACCGCTCCGGAACTGCGAGGGCGGCTAAGGAACTCGGCACCTGAGCACACTCCATATAAAATCCTTTATTATAAAAAGCTCAGCTGCACGGCATTTCAGAAGGAACCGGACCAGCTGAGCGGACCAGTGAAGACTCCTCTTCCGCGTCAGGTGTCTGGGATCATCAGGCCGAGGCCCTCAAAGAACAAATGGGAGCTCCGAGGGGCGCCACCTGGGCTCCACCCCACCCCTCACCACCCCCACCGTGAACGCTGAGTTCCTGGAGCAGCCCCGTGCCCTCTCGACAACACGGAGTTCCAGTTCCGATCCTAGACTCCGGTGAAGAAAGCAAACGCAGAACTTTCACTTCGGAAACACATGGTCCTAGCAGGAAGGGAACGAAGCCACCTCGTCCTAAGTCGGTGGCTGGGGAGGGGTGTGTGTCCTGGAGAGGGAGGGGCACGTGTTGCCACTGGCTCAGAGGTGGGGGATGAAGGGGGAGGAGATACCTGGGCTGCACCCTGGATGTGGGCCACAAGCTCCCGGGCTTCCAGGCAGCATAGCCGCCCAGTGTACCTGTTCCCTGTCGCTCTGTGAGTCAGACACACAGGAGGCCCCTCCCCCAGTTACAGACGGGCCAAGTGCACATTGAGTCCCCCCAGCTTCTTGGCTGGGGGCTCCGGTGGCTCCCTTCGCGTCTGGGGTTACAGAGGGTGTGAGGGCCAGCAGGGAACATGGCCCGAGAGGGCGGATCAGTCAGGTGGCCCGAGAGGGCGGATCAGTCAGGTGGCCCGAGAGGGCGGATCAGTCAGGTGGCCCGAGAGGGCGGATCAGTCAGGTGGCCGGGCGTCGGGCAGCTTGTCGTGGACCTCGTCGTACTGGGGTGGAGGGGTGAGGGGCTCGATGGAGGGTGGGGGCACGTTTTTGTCCGGGAGGCTGATCCGGAAGTCCTTGAGGTGCAGCTTTTCCGATTTGATCCTCCGGACCTTGAGCGGCTTCAGGTGTTTGGCCAACCTGGAGTTCTGTCTGTCAGGGGCGTGCCCTGGGCCGGGCTCCGCGTTGGCTCTGGGGCCAGTGGGGGTGGTCTCGTCGAGTCCTGTCAGTGACTCGTAGGAGGGGAGGGACACGGTCATCCTCGGGTCCTGGCCCGCTTCCCTGGCTTCTGAGTAGTTGGTGTTCATCACCTCCTCGTAGCTGGGGACGTAGTACCTGGAGGAGGCCTCCTCCTCTTCCTCCTGGCTGTGGGACAGATAGACACAGATAGGTTAGCAGGCTCTGTGGACAGTGCAGTCACCGAGAGACAGACCCTAGGTTCCATGCTGGCTCTGGGTCCACATACATACACACAGAAGCCTTATAAAGCACCAAGGGTCTCAGATGTATTAAAAGTTAACACTGCAATTGTACACTGTTTTATAAATCCATGTCTTATTCCTAACACTACGAACTCTACTAATATTATACCCGTTTTATGTAGGTGAAGAGGCGCCAAGGTTACAGGTCACACAGCCTACTGCAGCATCTGGGTCCCTGGCCTTGAAGCCTTCACACCCTCGCACCATGCCCCGTGTGCTAGCCTGGTGCCCAGCCGGGCCTCTGGCCAAAGGCAGCATAACCAGGCATAAAAAGGCTACTGATGCGAAGCAACATGGCCGTCCCCAGGCCGATCAGGAGAAGCCAGATTTTTTTATTCCATCATGGATCTCGATGTTTTTTGTAGTTTTATCCTCCAAGTTCATCCTGAGGCTTAAAAAGATCAGTTCCCAAGCCTCCTCCTAATCTGACTTTTAACATGGACACCAAGATGTGAGGGTGTTTCTCCTGCCAAGGAACAGGAGAAATGCAATGGCCACTCTGTCCAGGTCCCAAGGGTGGTCGCTCTCAGGACATCTCCCGCTCACCTTCTGGTGGGAATGAACATGTGTGTGCTTCTGACCGGGGCAGGCGAGCAGGGGGGTTGGGCTCATTCTTCTTTGTTCTTTCCTACACATTCCCAATTTTCTAGAATACGCATGTGTGGGGGGTTAATTTTAAGGATCAACTTGACAGGCCACAGGTATCTAAATTGAACAGTCACCTCTGGGTGTGTCTGGGAGAGGTCTCAACTGAGGTCAGCTATTGTCGGTCCTGCCCACCTGTCAGGAGGCATCAGTCCATCCGCTGGGGACCAGAGCAGGACACAGGCCAGAGGGAGGAGGACTTGGTTCCCTTTTTTTTTTTTGCCTCTGCTTGAGCTGGGGCTTCTCAGCTCGTCCTCTGCCCTCAGGGACAACATCCCCCACGTGCACATGCAGCCTCAGCGACATCCACCGGCCTTTCTGGGCTCCAGTGTGCACAGGGGCACCCGGGGACCTCTCGGCCTTCATCCCCTAGCAGCCACTCCTCACTGACCACACACACACACACACACATGTACATGCACACAGAGCAACGACAGGTCAGTAACCCAGGGACATGGGTACAGTCCCAGCCGTGTAAATGTTCACAAGGTCACCCTGGGACGCATGTCCCATCACCCCGCTATATACAACCGGGAATATCCTGCTGCCTCCATTTAGTCCTAGAGCTACTTTCATGAGCAGAAAATGCAGTTAATTGTCCTGCAATGAACAGTACCTCCTCTTATGCTACCAATGCTTGTAGGAAATTCAAGCAAGACAGAAAACTCCAAAGAGGAAAAAAATAAACATCTCGAATCCCTCCCCTCCATGTAGCCCCTGCAGTGGGCACCCTGGGCTTCCACAGCCACACCCGGTGTGACAGGACCTCAACACAGGTGCTGCATCACAACCCCCTCATCTCAGAATCTCCGCTAAGGTCCCACGGTAAGTACAGCTCGACGGCGGCCCTGTGGAATGCCACCGGATGGGGCTCTCTGATTGAACTTGATGAAACAGTTGTATTTTTACTCCCTAAACAGTGACCTGATGGACCCACATGGCACGCGTTTCCCATGGATCTGCTCTGAGGAACAGAGCTGACAGGTGCCCACACCCTCCGTCCACCTGCTTCCTGGGCAGTTTTCAGCACATTTACTCAGGTCACCCCCCTCCCAACTTCCCGGGCCCCCCACAGCTCTCCCAAGCTGGCGGCCACGTATCCCAGCCAATCGGACGACACAGGAAGTTGACATCTGCTCTATGTTTGCACAACAAATGAGCTCGCACATGGGTTGGCTAAGCATCTAGGACACACTCCTTCACCTCTGTCCCTTTCCTTCCTGGTTGTTCATTTGTCACAGTCAAGTGCAAGGGCCTTTTCTCACACAGCTAGCCACCTTTCCTGAGCATCGCCCAGTCTGTCACTGGTCCTTTGCACTTGTGGCACTGTGGGGCAGATAGAATCCTGCTGCCCAACCTTTGAGAATCTAAGTCCGTATACAATGTATGCCGAGGACTGAATTCCTGGACTCAGAACCCCATCCATGGAAGAGAATTGCAGGTTCCATGGTCTGACCGTGGAGTGCCTGTGTCAAAGCTGAGCTTCCTCAGTGGCTCAGACGGAGCAGTGGACAGCACATCCAGGGGCACAGGAGGATATGGCAGTAGATCGGAGCCTGCGGAGGACACCTGGTACTAGGACAGAGGACAGACAAATTGATCAACTACCCCAGCCAAGTGTTGGCAGTGAATATCCAGGCAAACGGAGACTCAACCAGTGGATTCTGGAGAGATTTTGTCTCGGAGTGGCGAGATTGGCAGTAATTCACAACTGTTGAACTATGGAAACCTCTTGAGCAGGACCCTCAGCCTGCCCCACGTCAGGGACCCGGGGGTGGTGTCAGGTGGCTGTCCTCCATCCCAGGGTATGGAGGCAGTTGGGAGGCTGGGTGTGGCTTTTTCCCAAAAGACAGGAAGGAAAAAAAGAGAATGTGGAAATGGTGATCTCACCCACCCTCCTGTAGCCCTTGACCCTTATCCCCCTAATAACTATCATTAAAAATAAATACAATTAATAAAAATGTTTTTATCCATTAAAAACATCACGGACAATCCTAAATAAAAAGTTCATGCTTGTGGGACCTGTGCTGATGTCCAGGTTAAATCTCCCTTGTGGTGCCAGCATCCTATATGGATGCCAGTTTGAGTTCCAGCTGTTCCATTTGCCAAAGCATCTCCTTGTTGATATAACTAGGAAAGCAGTGAAGCTTGGCCCAGATGCGTGGCACCCTGCACCCCAGTGGGAAAGGGGGCTCTGGGCTCCTGGCTTTGCCGTAGTCCAGTTCTAGCCACTGCGGCAGTTTGGGAAATGAACTAACACATGGAAGATCTCTGTCTCTCCTTCTCTCTGTAAATCTGCCTTTTAATGAAAAGAAAGAATTCTTGAAAAAAAAAAAAAACACAAAGGACGCAGAGGGAGGATGGGAGGCTCAGCTCCACCCCAGAACTTTTGACATCTGGGCAATCTGTCATCCAATTGTTCAGCAACTCTGGGATAGAGAAGGGCAAAGTGATTGAGGAAAATGACAATCTGGTACTAGGGACGTAGGTGAAGGCGAGTGGGAAGGCAGGGCCTGGCAGGTGAACGTGGGGGCGTGGCCGGGAGGAGGGGTGGGGCCGGACGGGGCGTGGCCGGGAGGGGCGGGGCCAGCAGTCCCTCACCTGTCCTCCTCCTGGGCGTGCGGCTGGGCGGCCGCCTGCTGCTGGATGCGGGCTATCTCATCCTCGGTCTGCCGTTGCTTCCTCTTGTCCCGGATGCTCAGGCAGATGGACAGCAGCAGCAGCATCACGCCGGCCCCGACCAGCACGTAGGCCACGGAGAAGGACTTGCTCTTGAGAATGCCGCTGCCTACCTCGGTCTTGTTGCCCTGAGCCGTGGGCTTGTCGGCAGAGCTGAACCCGGGCACCAGGTTCCACATGGCCATGATGACCCCAAGGACCAGCATCCCCAGGCCGATGGCGGTCAGCGCGTAGTGGGAGCCGTTGGCTTTGGACTGGGCCATCATGCCGGCGGGTCGGGGAGGGGGTGGGCCCAGACAGAGAAAGCCGAATAAATAAAAGGTGGCGGTGGTGGTAGCAGCAGTGGCCGCAGCTCCTTAAACTCACAGTGGAAAAGCTCTAGCACCACTCTCCAAGCAGGTTTGCGGCAGTCTCAAGGAGGACTCCAGCAAGCTCGGGGCATCTGGTGGACAGCTGCAGTCGGGGGGCTCTGAAAGGGAAGCAGAGAGAGCACTGAGTTCCGATCTGAGATGCTCTTCTAACACAGTGGCTAGACTCTGATGTGCCTGGGAACAGCTCCGAGCCTCCGGCCTGGCCTCTTACACCTTGCTCCCTGGCTGTCCCCCGCAGAGGGCCACGGGGAGGCCACGACCACACCCGTGAAGCAGAGCCAGGCATTGGTCAAAGGCACAGTCCCAGGCAGCCTCCTGTGGCTTGTGCAGGACCCTCAAGGGCTCCCTGTTTCCTGCAAGGGGACATCCAGCCTCAATGTGGCAGAAATGTAAAAAGTGTGACCTGAAAAGAGGCCCCAGGGCCAGGCAGCAAGATAAGCTTTTTCTCAGCTTCCTTTTTTTTTTTTTTCTTAAAGACTTATTTTATTTGAAGGGCAGAGTTACAGAGAGGAGAGACAGAGTCTTCTGTCTGCTGGCTCATTCCCCAGGTGGCCACCAAGGCCAGGGCTGATCTGAAGCTAAGAGCCTGGAGCTTCCTCTGGGTTTCCCATGCAGGTGCAGGGTTCCTAGGACTTGAGCCATTATCACTGCTGTCCCAGGCCACAAGCAGGGAGTTGGATGGGAAGTGGTGCACTCGAACTGGTGCCCATATGGGATGCTGGCACCATAGGTGGAGACTTAGTCTACTATGCTATGACACTGATCCCTTTTGCTTCATTAAAAAAAAAAAGTATTGATTTGGAAGTCAGGGTTACGGAGAGAGAATAATCTTCCATCCACTGGTTCACTCCCTAAATGACCACAGTGGTCAAGGCTAGAACAGGCTGAAGCCATGAAGAGCTTCTTCCGGGTCTTCCATGTGGGTGGCAGGGGTCTAAAGCACATGGACCATTCTCCACTGCTCTCCCAGGCACATTAGCAGGAAGCTATATTGGAAGTGGAGCAGCCAGGATGCCAGTAGGGGAAGTGGGTGCTGCAGGCAGCAGCTTAACCTGCTGTGCTACAACGCTAAGCCTGAATTTTCCTTTTCTGAAGGAACACAGAAGCCTGCCTGTTTCCCATCTGGGATCTGTTGAATGGACCCCTCCCTGAGACAGCAGGGCTTGGTGCTGAGCTGGGAGAGTCTTGTTTTCCATGCAGCATTCTTTCTGAGTGTTGCCAGAGGCCAGCCGACTGGGCTGCCCGAAACCCAATGCTGCGGGCATGTTTGCTTGTCCACGTCCAGGCCTCATCTGAAGTCGACTGTGTGGTGGAAGGATACTCTAAAAATATCTAGGACAACAGCCTCCGCCTGCGTGAGGTCTGGCCGCTTTTCCCCTTGTTAACTCCATGAGTATTTCTCATGCATCTAACTGCTTGTTAACTGCACAAAGGAGGAGAATGGCAGAGCATGGAGGGGGTGTGTGGGGCTCCAGCCAGCAGGACAGCAGCGACCCTACAAGCTGTAACTATAAGACGAGAAAAAAGGACGGGAGCAAATGAACGAATCAGAAGGGGCATGGGGAAACCTCGGTGAGAGGAGTCCTACAGGCGAAGTAGGGCCTGCACCCTGCACGCACCAGCCGTGTGCACAGGGGCACGTGTGTGCCTCAGACACGTGTGCACACCTCTGGATACTTGTGCACCTGCTGTATGTATGTACATGGCAACTCCAGTTTGTGGGAAGTACAGTTAAAAGTTTGGTGTGGTATACAAATCTTCTGAAACCCATGCAGTTTTCTTTTCATAAGATGCATCTTCATGATATTTTTAAAGACTCGGCCCCACACTGCACACTTGTGTTTACACAGGGACAAGCACGCTTGCATGTAACAGTAGGTGTCCACAGCTGTGTACCTGGGGACATGAACAGGTGTGTGTGTGTGTGTGTGTGTGTGTGTGTGTGTGTGTGCGCGCGCGAGTCCCAGGCAGAGCTGGAAGTGTCAACACTCTGGATGGATCTGTCAAGGATTAGTGGCAGGTGGCAGCAGCAGAGTGGGCAAGGCTGAAGGGATGGGCAGGTGCACATAACGCGTTTGGGTGACAAGTTTTATGGCATTTATGAATCCAAAATTTGCAAAGTGTTTACATGCATTAACTCTGTAATTCCTACCACAAAGAATGACGGACAGAACCATACGCATCACAGCTCTAGCATGACGCCAAGCTGGAAACCACTGAGATGGTCAACAGCCCAGAGGGAGTTAGATAAACTATGGCACCTGCATGGACCAGACTGTGGTCTTACAGCAGTAACGACAACCTTCCGAAATCAGAAAACAAAGTGAGAGCATCATTGTGCTCTGTGTATTTCTACTGTTTTAAAACTTCCACACACACACACAGAGCTATCCATGAATACAGAGAGAAAGAGACTGGATGATTGGACTTTGGCTGAAATTAAAAAAAAAAAGACAGCATTTTTAAGGTATGCAAACACGGATGTAAAACTCCCAGGGCAGCACATCTGCATTCTGCACTTGTACCGTGAGCGCTTCTGGAGAGGCAGGGAGCTTGGCAAGTGGACTTTATGCCCTATTTCTCTATTTGGAACATTTTCAGCCAGGATGTGTGGGAGCAAGGCAGCGTGGCTGACTGAGAGTGAATTTTGGAACCAGGCTGCCTGGATTCAGATCCTTGCTGCATTCCTTCCCAGCTGTGTGGCCTTGGACAAGTTACTTAACCTCTCTGTGTGTTCACTGCTATAGCCATGACATGCCCAATTCACCGAAGAATTGTAGCAAATAAAGAAGAAAAAGTTTACAAAGCATCTGGATCAGAGGGTGACCAGCACCCAGGAAGGTCTTTCCTCAAGACTGGTCACCCAGGGATCACTTCAAGCAGGATAAAGCTGGTCCTCCTTCCTTGCAAGGAGACCAGAGTTGATTTGGGGGGGGGGGGGGTGTGAAAAAAGTCATCTAAGGTATTAGCATAGCTTGTGGCCCTCCTCAGGGGCCAGGACGTGAGTAGAGAAACAGCATGGGCTTGGAATGAACATGTCCTGGGGATCGGGGTGGCATTCCAGGAAGAATGTGGGGAGGGCCCAAGTGAGAGAAAATTCTAGAAACATGATCTCATGTACCAGGCGGGTTTCATAGCACCTGTTCCAGATGGGGTGCTGATGGTCAGTTTTCCTCCATGGTGGGATGATTAAAGACAATTTAAAAGATAATTGAATGAATTTACTTGAGACATGGGGGGAAGGAGAGAGAGAGATTTCCCATGTGCTGGTTCATTCCCCAGGCGTCTAGAAGGGCCAGGAGCAGACGCAGCTGAAGCCAGGACCTTGGCACAGGTCTCCCACATGGGTAACAAGAACCCAAGTACTGAGCCCTCACTGCTGCCTTGCAGGACCTGCACTGGGGACATTGGGCGCGGAGCCAAGATTCAAACCCAGGCACTCCGCTAGGGGTGTGTCCATCTGAACCGCTAGGCTGTGTGTGGGCTTGTGGGCTCGTGGGCTCGGTGGGCTCCGAGAGATGTGTAACATCTCATTCTTGCTGAGAGCCCAACATGGCAGGAGAGAACAGTGTTGCTTTTGTAACATGAAGCGAGGGTTCTGCTCTCGGGTTCGTGGTGGGGATGCGTGTCCAGTGGGAGTGTGGACATGGGTGCCAAGTCGGGCTCAGCCCCTTTTGGAGCCCGGGGCTGGAGGCCCCCTGGGCTGTGAGCTCCAGGCCCAGGTGGCCAGCGGCTCCTCTGGTTTCTGCTTTGCTGACCCTGGAAGGCCTCTGGTGTTATATTTAGCATGATGTTCTTTTCTGTTGTAAAAATATGGAAAGAAGCTAATTTTGTGCTTTGAGTGTTTGGGCCACATAGTTTCCTATGGGCCCCCGGCTCGCAGCAGCCTTTGGGGACATGATGGGGGCCCAGCTCGGCCAGATGCACGGGGCTGCTCTGAGCTAAGACAGCCCTGAGCGATGAGCGGCAGACTGTATTAGGACATTGAAGGGGAAAACTTACATCCCTTTTTAATGTGTTATTTTAAAATTATTTTTATTTTTCTCAAAAAGTTTTATCTATATTTGAAAAGCATAGTGGGAGAGAGAGAGAAACAAAAAAAAGAACAACCTTCCATCTGTAGGCTTTGGTCCCATATACTGCAATGGCCTCCCCAGGCACATAGACAAGGAGCTGGATCAGAAATGGAGCATCCAGGATACAGAGTAGCAGCCATACGGGATGCCACAGTCCTATGTGGTGGTTTAACCGCCTGTCCTACAATGCAAACCCCTATGTTTATTTTTTTATTTGTATTTATGGAGTACAGTATGACGGTGCTTTCCAATATCTGTGGAAGATGGAATTGAAAGGTAAATTGCTGGTTTTTGGTTTTGGTCCTGGTGGCAGGGAGTGAATCAGCAGATAAAACACTTCTCTCTCACTCTCTCTCTCTCTCTGCTAACTCCAATTTTCCAGTGAATAAATCTTACAAAAAAGAAAAAGTTGATAGAAACTAATGGAAAAATTTCTACCTAGCTAAGAGAGAGCTCTGCCTGTTGCTACCTGGGAGAGTCAGGGCAGGCCCGTGAGCAGCTCCTCCTGTTAGACTCCGGGGCAAAGGATCCAAACACCCAGGGAGCTCAGGCACCCAGGGAGCTCAGGCGTCCAGGGAGCTCAGGCTTCCAGGGAGCTCAGGCATCCAGGGAGCTCAGGCACCCAGGGAGCTCAGGCATCCAGGGAGCTCAGGCACCCAGGGAGCTCAGGCTTCCAGGGAGCTCAGGCGTCCAGGGAGCTCAGGCATCCAGGGAGCTCAGGCATCCAGGGAGCTCAGGCTTCCAGGGAGCTCAGGCACCCAGGGAGCTCAGGCTTCCAGGGAGCTCAGGCATCCAGGGAGCTCAGGCTTCCAGGGAGCTCAGGCAC